TTCTATCTCTCTCCCCTTCTCCCTTCTTCTCTCTCTAAAATTAATAAAGGCATATTTTAAAAATATATATATATTGGCCTGGCCGGTGTGGCTCAGCAGTTGAGTGTTGACCTATGAACCAGGAGTTCATGGTTTAATTCCCAGTCAGGGCACATGCCTGAGTTGCAGGCTCGGTCCCCAGAAGGGGGTGTGCAGGAGGCAACCAATCGGTGATTCTTTCTCATCATTGATGTTTCTATCTCTCTTTCCCTCTCCCTTCCTCTCTGAAATCAATACAAACATATTAAAAAACGTGTGTGTGTGTGTGTGTGTGTGTGTGTGTGTTTTTTTTTTTTTTTTTAGAAAAGCAGTCTATCATCTTTAAGGAAAATTTAGAAAAATAAAAAGATGAGGTAGGAAGAATCACTTGTAGCCCACCAGTCAAACACAACAATAATGAATATTTTGCTGTATTTCCTTCAACTATTCATTGTATTCATACTACATTTACAAGTTAATCTAGGTGAAATTTTTATTAATTTTTATTTATTTTAGAGAGAGAGAGAGAAGAAGAGAGAGAGAGAAAAAGAGAGTGAGAGAGAAACATCAATTTGTTGTTCCACTTTCTTAGGCATTCATTGGTTGGTTCTTGTATGTGCCCTGACCGGGGATGGAACCTACAACCTTGGCGTATTGGGATGACACTCTAACCAACTGAGCTACCTGGCCAGGGCCTAGGTGAAATCTTTAGAAAGAAGCCCAACTGCTAACCTGTGACATTAAGGATTCTGCTTCAGTGTGGAAGAAAAAGGGTTTTTGTGGAAAGTAACCTTACAGGGTGATCTGATGATCAATTCCTAACTGGGCAGGTCATGGTGGGGAGTCATACGCCAGCCAGGCCTATAACTTCTTTAGTAAAAGGCTTATCTTTGCCTTCAGCAAGCCCTGGCCATTGTTTCTGTGCATCTTGGCTAACACACCGTTGAAATGCCCCCTTTCAGACCCTGCTTTAAGCCTGGGAGCACATCATCTTAACTGTCCTGCAATCCATTGCCGCCTTCATGCGATCCTCCCAGTGCTTCCTCCTCACTTTCAAATGCGTAAGAGAAACGCCAGCCCTGTTATTCTCCCGAGCGTGTCAGAGCTTGCTCCCGAGCATATGTTGTCAGTTTGGCTCAAATAAACTCTTATCAACATTTTTTAAAAATTCTGCTTTGGACAAAGAAAACCTGGTAGGGGTCCCACGAAGTCACTCACAGGGACCCCGGGGCAGGGGACGGCCAGGCATTGGGCGCCCCCTCTGCAGTCCCCACCACCACTCCCACCAGCTTTATTATTTTACCTTTCACATTTAGATCCAGTTAATTCTGAGGGATGATACGAATTCATTTTCATATGGGTATCTAATTGCTTCACTACATTTATGGGAAAGGTCATCTGTTTCCACCGCATTGCAGTGTCACCTTTGTCATAAATTAAGTGACCTTATATGACTGAGTCTATTTCTGGATTCTCTCTTCTAGTCCATTGGTCTAGTCATTAATCTGTGTGCCACTTCCACACTACATTAATTAATGTAGCTTTATAATAAACCTTGGTATCTAGTAGCGTGATCCTCCAACTTTGTTCAAGATTGTCTTGGCTCTGGCCAGTGTGGCTCAGTTGGTTGGTGCGTCATCGTGCACACCAAAAGGTGGTGGGTTCTATTCCCAACCAGGGCACACACCCAGGTTGTGGGTTTAATCCTCAGTCAGGGTGAATGCAGGAGGCAGCTGATCATGTTTCTCTCTCATGTTGATGTCTCTCTCTCTCTCTCTCTCTCTCTCTCTCTCTCTCTCTCTCTCTCTTTCTCTCCTCTCCCTTCCTCTCTCTAAAATCAATTTAAAATTTTTTTTTAAAGATTATCCTGGCTATTCCTGGTTCTTTATGTTTCTCTATACATTTAGAATCAGTTTGTTAATTTCCACCAAAGAAATACACCGGGATTTTGATTGAGATTGAAATAAATCTGTAGGTTAATCGGGAATAATTGACATCTTTACAACATTGAGTCTTTCAATTTATGAACATTCTTCAATATCTCTCATTGTTTTATACTTTTCAATGTAGAAAACTTGCACATTTTTCATGAGATTTATTCCTAGGTGTTTGATATTTTAATGGTATCTGAGGTTTTTTCCCCCCTGATAACACTTCTGAATCAAATGAGAGAGTTCTTCCTGAGACCATTTCTCCAGCTTGGATATCAACTGGGTATTCAACGTTGAGTCCTTTTCTCAGGCCTTTCTTTCTGCCTCTGTGGAGAATGTTCTGGAATCGTTGTTGGGGTAGCCTCAAGGATCCTAGAGTCATTTAGATGATTTGCTAAAGATTCTGTCCCCTGCAGAAGCTGGGCCCTTGGGCTGGGCAAGGGAGTTGGGGAGAGGGATGTTATTGGGGGGAAGGAGTATTAGCCAGCTCTTCTATTCTTTTATTATCATTATTATTACTAGAGGCCTGATGCACGACATTCGTGCACTGGGGTGGTGTCCCTCAGTCTGGCTTGCGCCCTCTTGCAGTCCGGGACCCCGAGGGATTCTTAGCGCTGTTGCGGAGGTGGGAGTGGCTCCTGCCACCGCCGCTGCTGCACTTGCCAGCCACCAGCCACAAGCCCAACTTCTGGCTGAGCGTTGCTCCTCCTGTGGGAGTGCACTGACCACCAGGGGGAGCTCCTGCATTGAGCATCTGTCCCCTGGTGGTCAGTGCACATCATAGCAACTGGTCATTCCGCCGTTCAGTCAATTTGCATATTAGGGTTTTATTATATAGGATTATTGCTTTCTAGAGATAGAGGGAGGGGTGAGGGGAGACAGAGACATCAATTTGTTGTTCCACTTATTTATGCAGTCATTGGTTGATTCTTGTATGTGCCCTGACCTGGGATTGAACCCACAACATTGGTGTATCAGGACAATTTCCAACCAACTGAGCTCCCTGGCCAGGCCCTTACCCAGCTCTTCTTTAACTCTTGGATGTGTCCCTGCATCTCCAGAGGCATTAACAGAGTTGGGGTATCGGGTGAAACCATCAGCTAAACTAAGCCCAGGATAGAGGGTCTGTGTCAGATGTGAGGACAGACTGAGGGATGAAGACTTTTCTGTGGCCAAAGGCTGAGAGAGAAGAGATCAAGTTTTATCAAACCTTCAAGAGTGAAGGAGGAGAGTTGTCGAGGGCCTGAGGTCACAGAAGTCTGGCTGGGCCCTCAGGGGAATCTGAGGTCGGGGTCTGGTATCGCTCCCAGACTGGTATCTGCTCAGGTTCCCACATCTGTAGGGCCCTGAGCTTAGAGACAGGGATACACAGAAGTAACACAGCAACAGGGACAGCCCCCATTTACTGGGGATCTGCTCACTTAATACTCCCCAAACCCTGGAGATATATTTTATTAACCCCATTTCATAGATGAAGACCACTGAGGCTCAAATCATTTAGGTTAGTGGGAGACTCCCTACAGCTCACCTGCAACTCAGACAGGTGCATGTCCCTCTGAAGTCCTTGGTCCTTAGGGGTCCTGCATAGGGGGCTTTGCCTGTAGCGGGTGTTTGGTGGACTCTTGAACCTTAAGGTCCCGAAAAGTGGCTGACATTCCAAGGGGTATGCCATGGACTTGGATGGTTTCTCACCTGGTGGACTCCAGTCGGGAAGCTGTGGCTGTGAGCCCGCAGCCTTTCTGAGTGGGCGCCAAGTGCCTCCCAGGTCTGTGACCTACTCTGGAACCTGCTCCAGTGCCCAGGAAAATGCTGTGTCCAGAGCAGCAGCCAAGAGAAAATGCCCCAGGATCCGAAGATACCCCAGATCTATGGAGAGATGAATGGCCCAAGCATTCAGGAAATTAACATATTTCTTGAAACCTAGAAGTGACTTTTCCCGGTAACCTAAGAACCCACGGAGTGTATTTTACCACGATAAAGAAAAATTTAAAAACCCAGTGAGCTGCCTCAGACACAAAAGCATTCAGTGGGCACCTGACTCACATCACATGAGGACCCGTCAGGGACTCCCTGAGGTGAGGCTGGAGGAGTGGTTCCAGTCTTCCATTCTCCAATCCGCACGCCAACACCGCTCTGAGCTGGTGAGGGAGCTCACCAGGGCCTTAGGAAACCCCACATCAGCAGGGAGAGGGAGGGGACTGGCTGCAAGTGATGTTTTGTACAGTCAGAGTTCTGAGACCCAGAAAAGAGGCCCAGAGGGTGGGCTCTCTGTTGCCTGGAGAGCTTTACCCCTGAGACCGCCCCCCACCCCACCCCAGGGCTTTCCAGAATTAGGGCGGAGCGCCTGGGAACAGGAGGGTCCCAGACGGGGCAGCGTGTCTGCGACTCGGTGGGGTGGCTTTTTGTGAACGTTGTGCATAAACACATGGACAGGTTTTCTGCCATTGAACCATCCTGGGACAAACCCCAGTTGATTGTGAGAAAACAAAAAAACAAACCAACAAACAAACTTGAACAAATTATTGGATTCAGTGTGCTGGCTTTGTTTGGGATTTTCACATTCTTGTTCGTAAGGGAGGTTGGTTTACATTTTCCTCCTCTTGTACTAATCTTGTCTCATTGAAGAGTCAAGGTCATGCTCACTTCATAAAATGGGTGGCCGGCTTCCCTGCCTTTCCCCCTGTTTAATTCTTCGACAGCGAACGATAATTGTAAGGGCTTGGGTTTTATAAGAACACACCCCCAGAGTCTGCCTGCTCGACATGGGACGTGGCACAGACCAGAAGACAGACACCTGCTTTCTTTAGTCTGTGTTGCCTTCAATATGGTGCTTTTGTTTGTGGGACCCTCTGCTGGGAACTAGCCACTTTCCTGAGGAAGCAGAGAGGAGGGATGAGGGGAAGCCCTGGGCCCAGACAGGGAGATGTGCTGAGGGGGGCAGGGGGGGGAGAGCCAGAGCCTGGTGCCCCACCACCCGCTGCAGCCACCCCTGCTCCCCGGGCCCAGGCTCCGGGAAGCCCCGCAGGAGCTCAGCCTGCCCCTCCCACGCAGGCACCATGTTCCGCAAGAAAAAGAAGAAACGCCCTGAGATCTCAGCCCCACAGAACTTCCAGCACCGCGTCCACACCTCCTTTGACCCTAAAGAAGGCAAGTTTGTGGGCCTCCCCCCTCAATGGCAGAACATCCTGGACACTCTCCGACGCCCCAAGCCCGTGGTGGACCCTTCGCGCATTACGCCGGTGCAGCTCCAGCCCATGAAGGTAAGTAAGGTGGGCGGCGGGAGAGCGAGGCTCCGCAGATGCCCGGGTCTGGCCAAACCACAAAGGCACCTGGAGGAACCACCTAATTACCAGCTATCAATTAGCCGCTGTTTTCATTCCCTGCTCATCGGCCCTGTGTCTCCCTGGGTAACCCAGGGAGGAGGAGCCTGGGGAGTCCTCTAAAGGGTGGTAGGGCTGCCAAATATAGCAAATAAAATGCAGGCTGCCCAAGAACATTGGAATGTCAGATAACAACAAACAACCTTTTCATATCAGCGTGCCCAGGCAATATTGGACCTGCAGCCCCTGTGGGACTGGGGGATTGAGTGGTCTGGGTCAAGAAGGGTAGATCCGAGAACCTGGGAGGGGTTGGGGTCAGGATTTAGAGGCCACAAAGCCAGTGTGTGCGGAGGAGGCCGCCGGCCTGGTCCCTGCCTCCTCAGAGGGCTCCTCTCCCAGAAGGCCACAGGCAGAGCTGGGGAATCGTAGGTGGCCCCGTCCCCGTGGTTCCCCTCGGCTCCCCAAGCTCAGCTGCCCACACCATTTGGCGTTCTGGGTTGTAACCCGTGGTTACTCACCCGTGTGCCCTGCTGGACCGCGAGCCCCATGAAAATGGGCCTTTTCCCTGTATTTCTGCACCCGCACAGGCCTGACCTGCCATGGGCCCGGGTAAATGACTGGAAGTTTAAGGAATGGGTGGATGACACAGCAGGCAAGGTCCTTAGGTGTTCCTCCTCAAGGCCCCCAGGGAGGCCCTCGGGCCTGGTCCCAGGCTGCCCTCCCTGGCGCAAATCGGCCATTCACCCACGCTCTTCTCTCTCCTGCAGACTGTGGTGCGGGGCAGCTCTGTGCCCACAGACGGCTACATCTCGGGGCTGCTCAACGACATCCAGAAGCTGTCAGTCATCAGCTCCAACACCCTTCGCGGGCACAGCCCCACCAACCGGCGGCGGGCACAGTCCCTGGGGCTGCTGGGGGAGGAGCACTGGACTGCGGACCCAGACATGTACCTGCAGAGCCCCCAGTCTGAGCGCACTGACCTCTACCTCAGCTGCAATGGGGGTGCACCCGCAGGCCGCCGGCAGGTGCCATGGCCAGAACCACAGAGTCCACGGGTCCCGCCCAATGGGCTGGCCACCAAGGCACAGTCCCTGGGCCCCGCCGAGTTCCAGGGTGCCACCCAGCGCTGCCTGCAGCTGGGTGCCTGCCTGCAGAGCACCCCACCCGGCACTTCACCCCCGGCAGCCACGGGAAGGCGTGGGGCCAAAGCCGTCAGGCATGGCTCTGAGGAGGCCCGGCCACAGTCCTGCCTGGTGGGCTCTGCTGCGGGCAGGCCGGGCGGGGAGGGCAGCCCCAGCCCTAAGACTCAGGAGAGCAGCTTGAAGCACAGGCTGTTCCGGAGCATGTTCCTGTCAACTCCTGCTACAGCCCCTCCGAGCAGCAGCCAGCCAGGCCCCGCACCACAGAGCAAGGTAGGTCGGCGGGGCTGCCTTCCGGCCACTCTCCGAAGGCCGGGGGCGGCCTGGCAGGCGTCCACTGGGGAATGATGCATGTCTGGCGCGCAGGCCCTGCCTGGCCTTCCCCATTTACAGGGTGGGTTGGGGGACAGCATGAGGGAACAAAATAATCAAGACACCAGCTCAGCCTCCACTGAGGATTCTACCCTGAACCACTGAGTCCTCGTCCTCCAAAGGCTTAGCATGTGTGAGTCAGAGGCTGTGAGCCAGGTCGTTTTCCTGGGGGCTTCAGAGGAGCTATGTACACCCAGCCTCCACTCCTGCCCCCTGGGGTGTGGTTGGCAGATACCCCCCGAGAAAGCAGCATTAAAAAATATTCTTTGTATTGATTTCAGAGAGGGAGGGAAAGGGAGAGAGCGAGAGAGAGAGAGAGAGGGAGAGAGACATTAATGATGAGAGAAAATCTTGGATTGGCTGCCTTGTGCACGCCCCCTACTGGGGATCGAGCCCACAACCTGGACATATGCCCTGGAATCGAACTGTGACCTCCTGGTTCACAGGTTGATGCTCAACCACTGAGCTAAGCCGGCCAGGGGGAGAAGAAAAGCAGTATTTTTAACTACAAAAGCCCAGACCTTCCCCTGCCCCCGGGGCCCAGCAACCCCCACCCAGGCCCCAGCAGAATAGGGGCTCCAGCACCGGGCAGGCGGCATCCTGCCTCCCTCCTCTAGACCATCTTTCCGCCTCCATCCCTCACCTGGCCCGAGGCTCCGCGTCTCCGCTGAGGTCTGCAGAGGCTCCTGCACTGCCACTCCCTCCGCACTCAGCTCGCCCCCTCCGGTGACCATGCCCGCCCGCCCACCTGCGCTTCCTTTAGCGGTGGTGGTTTTGTGTCATTAACATTTCTGGAATGACTTATTCTCAAGTTTGTGTGTCATATGAGAAGCTAGAGGATTGAATTGGCCTGCGTCCGGAGGTAGCGGGAGGACTGCCTTTGGCCTGTGTGACAGTCTAAAATGCACATACTTTTCTTATAAGAAAGGAAGCGGTGAAGGGGGCCCCCACGGTGACATTTCTGGGCAGGCAGAGAACAATGCGCTTCTTACATGCCCTGTGGCGTCCTGTCTGTGGTGACATCCTTTCCCATTTTAGTCAGAAGCCTGAGTCAGAGAGGGTGAGACAGCCCCAGGTGTCGGGACTGAGTCAGGGAAGGAAGGCACAGAGGCTGGCTCAGGGGCTTCGCTGTCTTGGCAGCCACTGTTCTCTAGCTCCTTCCTGAGGGGCCGGCAGAAGTGAGCTTAGGCGGTAGCACGAGACTCCTAAGGCAGACCTGAGAGACTTGGGCGGCTCAGGGATGGCGGCTCCCCTCCCTGGAGGAGGACGAGCCTGGGTCCTCCCCCCTCAGTGACGGTGCCAGTCTGGTCCAGCCTGAATGTGGCTGGGGAGTTTGGAGAGTGGCCTGGACCCTCAACCTTTCTAAGTCACCACCAGCCCCAGGCACCCAGGGAAGGCTCTGGGCTTTGTGCACTCCAGCCCTGCACTGGGACGAGGACAGTGGGCTGGTATCCCCTGTGGGTTGGGGGTCTGGGGGGCAAACAGAGGATCTGTGGCCTGAGGCACCCGTCCACGTAAGGAACGTGTGAGCTGAGGGGAATGGAGACGTTCCCCAGAAAACCAGGGTGGGAGCCACACAGGGCACACTGCTTGGGAGGTGAGAACGGGAACAGGATCGCTCGCTGGCCTCTTGGGAGTCCTTCGGGAGGGCTTCAGGGATCTGGAGAGAGGGGATGTCTGGGCACAGGCATGCATGTTTCTGGGCTCCTAGCAGCACCCCACAGCCTCTGTCAGCCTGCCCATACCTGCACACCTTACTGAGTACCTACCACGGGCCACTGCTGCTGGGTGTGCAGGCCTGGGCCCTGACCTGTGAGGGAGGGGGTGGTTGTCTTGGGCTTGGAAATGCCACAGCTCCAATCCAGCCGAGTGCTTTCCCTCTCAGCACTTTGGGCATATGTTTCTAGAGCAGCAGTTCTCAACCTGTGGGTCGCGACCCCTTTGGGGGTTGAACGACCCTTCCACAGGGGTCGCCTAAGACCATCGGAAAACACATATATAATTACATATTGTTTTTGTGATTAATCACTATGCTTTAATTATGTTCAATTTGTAACAATGAAATTGGGGGTCACCACAACATGAGGAACTGTATTAAAGGGTCGCGGCATTAGGAAGGTTGAGAACCACTGCTCTAGAGAAGAACTCTAAGCCGGGCCTGAGCCGCTCTGAGCCAGGGCTTCTTAGCCCGGCACTGTTGGCATTTGGATCAGACGATCCTTTGGCGTGGGGGTGTCCTGTGTACTGTAGGATCTAGTAGTGTCCCCACTCTCTACCTACTAGACGCTAGCAGCACCCCACTGAGGGGACAGCCATAAATCCTTCCAGATATTGCCAAGTGCCTCTTGCGAGGCAAAGTCACCCCTAGTTGAAAACCACTGCTTTAGACAAATTACCTCAGACGGGAAGCCCCAGGAACCCCCAGACCAAGCCAGCAGCCAGCCCTCTGCCCTCAGCATATGCCAGGGGCTGGCTCTGGACGCTGACAGCAGCTCCCATGGCAGCACTGGTGCCCGAGAGGTCGGGCTGCCAGTGGCCATGTGTGCCAGGAGTGGCTGCAGGAGGCCTGTGGCCCAGTGGCTCTGGGACTCCGCCCAGGCAGCTTGGTCTGTGGCCGCTCACTTTGGCTAAAGAGCAAAAGAAGACCTCGAGTGGGGGTAGTGGGCCCAAAGAGGTAAGACGGTTCTAAGTTTGGGGACGTTGGAAGTGGTTCCGCTTAGAGGCAGAAAGGCCAAGTCAAAGGACCTCAATCAGCAGACATTGGTTAAGCCCCTACTGTGTACCATGTACTCCATTGTATGCCAATGATACAGGACATCAATAGGACTATAGCATAGGGGTGAGGGGTCGGGCTGACGGGGCTGCAGTCTGGCCTTGCCACCTACGACTTTGTGATTCTGGCAAGTTTACCTCTTTCCTTATCACAAATGTGATGGTAGTGCTCATGGGATCGTAAGACAACCCCCAGGGTTATGAGCGTTAAAGGAGACGATGCCTTGAAGGCTCCTGTCAAGGTGTCTTAACATATGGCTTTATTATATGGCTTTATTATTTTTGTAATATCATGACCCCTAACAACTCACTAATTTCATGTTTGTCTCCTCCCTTTCTTGGGGTGGTTTAGCAAGTTTCATCTGGTCCCCTCCTGGGGTTACATTAAGCAAAAGCTGCCTCCTTGTGGAGACAGGCAGCAGGGCTGACGAAGGGACACTTGGGACCCGACCCTGCTGAGGCGAAGGCCAAGCCTGGCCCCACCACCCCATGTTCCTGTCCCTGGCACGTCAGTGCGGGGCTCTCAACTCTGCAGGGAGGGACACCCTGACCCTAGACAAGGCCTAGGACTGTGGTGGGGGCGGGTGCTGAAGAGCTTGAAAAGGCGCTGGCTGAGCCGGGTGGGCCTGACGCCCAGACTTAGAGCTCCCCAGCCCAAGCAACTCGGCCCAAGCGGGCTGCCTGAGATTTCCTGGAAGTTGATTCAGCTCCAGGAATCAGGACAGGAGCCACTGGGCACCTAGACAACCAGATGTGATGTCCCAAGAAGCCTGTCTGCAGCTCCTGACAGTCCCCTGTAGGTTATACAGGGCCCTCTCCCCATGCCCCTTTTAAAAGCACAAAATCCTCACCAGGCCGGTGTGGCTCAGTGGTTGAGCTTCGACCTATGAACTAGGAGGTCACGATTCAAGCCCCGGTCGGGCACATGCCCTGGTTGCGGGCTTGATCTCCAGTGTGGGGCATGCAGGAGGCAGCCGATCAGTGATTCTCTCTCATCATTGATGTTTCAATCTCTCCCTCTCCCTTCCTCTCTGAAATCAATACAAATCTATTTTTTAAAAACAACCTGCAAAATCCTTACTCATGTTGCACATGCCAGCTGCCTGGGGAGAACCCCAAGGAGGGGACCATTTCCTGGCTGGACTGGCAGGAGAGCTTGGACCCAGAAAGGCAAGGAGCCTCGAAGCCTCCAGGGGTGGGCCCAGCCTGCCACTCAGCGCCACTTTCGCTCCCTGCCCACAGGATAGGCCTTCCTTCCCTTCCTTGTGGGGGCCCTCAGGCAGGAGTTCCATGCTTGGGAGCAAGTGGAGGGGCTCCTCTGGGGAGCCCTTAGAAAACCTCCCCGGGATCCCTGGCCCCAAGGACTGGGTTTGGATTTCTCTGGAACCATATCCCCAGCCTGGGGGGCTGGAAACCCCCCGATGGAAACATGGCTCTGTGGTCCTCTGTAGGGAACACCACAGGGCTTCTTCCGCCTGCGTGGGCCCTGGGTGGAGGAGCCATGGGAGCCGCTGCCTCTGACCCAGATTCCCCAGGGAGCCCTGCAGCAGAGGGGGGACTGCCTCCCAGTGGCCTCCTGGGGCCTGGCTGTCAATTCCCCAGGAAGAAACACGCAGCACAAGGGCACCCCAGGGACTCTGCCTTTTTGTCTTCCCAGGAGCAGGCAAATTGGCTGTAGAGGCTCCCGTTTGGTCTGCTCAGCTGGGAGCCATGGGGCTGGTTTCCCGAGCAGAACTGTGGTTTGGCTTCAGCTCCGTTTGAAAATCTTTGCTTGTGGCACCTCCCCAACTTGGTGTGATGCCCTGCCTAACCCTGCCCATGTCTGGGGGTCTCGGCAGGCACCCCCTGCCTCTGGGAAGTTCGCTCCAAACATTCCCACAGCCAAACCCCTCTCCGTGTCTTTATTTTTTCCCCTGCAGCCCAACTCCTCATTCCGGCCACCACAGAAAGACTCCCCCGCAAGCCTGGTGGCCAAGGCCCAGTCCTTGCCCGCAGACCAGCCCATGGGGACCTTCAGCCCTCTGACCACCTCAGATACCAGCAGCCCCCAGAAGTCCCTCCGCACAGCCCCAGCTGCCGGCCCTCCTCCAGGCCGGTCTTCCCCTGCTGGTTCCCCCCGCACCCGGCACGCCCAGATCAGCACCAGCAACCTGTACCTGCCCCAGGACCCCGCAGTAGCCAAGGGTGCCCTGGCCGGTGAGGACACGGGCATCGTGACACACGAGCAGTTCAAGGCTGCACTCAGGATGGTGGTGGACCAGGGCGACCCCCGGCTGCTGCTGGACAGCTACGTGAAGATTGGCGAGGGCTCCACGGGCATCGTCTGCCTGGCGCGGGAGAAGCACTCGGGCCGCCAGGTGGCCGTCAAGATGATGGACCTCAGGAAGCAGCAGCGCAGGGAGCTGCTCTTTAATGAGGTGGGAGGAGAGGGTGGGTGCGGGCGGGCATCTGGGATGGGCAGTGAACACCGAGCCAGGCCGGACAGGTACAAGCAGGGCGGTGGGTCCTCCCCGGCACTGAGGCATCCCCCCTGCCCCCAGGTGGTGATCATGCGGGACTACCAGCACCTCAACGTGGTGGAGATGTACAAGAGCTACCTGGTGGGCGAGGAGCTGTGGGTGCTCATGGAGTTCCTGCAGGGCGGGGCCCTCACGGACATCATCTCCCAAGTCAGGTGGGCAGCTGGAGGGCTGGGTCCCAAGTGCTGGCTGCCCCCACCTCTGCCCTGGAAGGGTTTCAGGCAGCCTCGGGCCCAGCAGACTTGGGGGAACTATCAGATCGTCCTGAGCTCACCTGTCTGTTTGGATTCATAGACCCGAGGGCCTCAGGGGAATGGGAGGGCAGGAGATGTCCAGCCTAGGCCCAGGCCCATTTCCGCCAGGTCTGGGCTCCCCCACACAAGGCCCAGGGGCTGTGGGGCCTGGTACCAGGGGCTCCCAGCCCGTCTGTCCTGCAGCCCAGCCAAAGCTAACATTCTCTCCCGACGGTGGCCCTGCCTTCCCTGTCCAGGCTGAACGAGGAGCAGATCGCCACCGTGTGCGAGGCCGTGCTGCAGGCCCTGGCGTACCTGCACGCCCAGGGCGTCATACACCGGGACATCAAGAGCGACTCCATCCTGCTGACCCTGGATGGCAGGGTAGGGCCCCCCCGACCCTGGCATACCCATGCTCCCCACTGCCCTGCTCCCAGCATAGCTCCTCCTCCTAATTCACCACTTCCCTTTTCCCTCTTACCCCCACCCCAGGTGAAACTGTCAGACTTCGGATTCTGTGCTCAGATCAGCAAAGATGTCCCTAAGAGGAAGTCCCTGGTGGGAACGCCCTACTGGATGGCCCCTGAAGTGATCTCCAGGTCTCTGTACGCCACTGAGGTAACCCCACCCTCCACCCCCCAGTCCTCCCGGAAGAGGCTTGGGAACACACAGCTCTAACACTCTTGGCCCCTCCCATCAAAAATAGCCCTGTTTCTCGGGTTCCCACTTAGTCAGTCCCTACCCCACTGCCCACTGTCCCTTCTTGGATGCATCTGCTCTTGCCTGTGACTTTGCTGCCACAAACTGGTCCCAAAAATGCTAGCCCTCAGCTCAAGGGCCAGGGGTATGGCCAGGCTTCCCCATGTGTGTTGTCCTTTCTCAGAGAGTGGCTGACCGCTGTGTCCCTAGTCAAGGTCACTCATGCAGGAAGTAACTGCCCACAGGGCCAGTGGCCGGGAAGGAGGCCAACTCACTAAGGAGAACTGAGACCAGCTGTGGCCTCCCCGGACTGCAGTGTGCTGCGACCAAGGGGCCAGGCTCTGGCCAGTGGAGTCAGGGACGTTCTCCTCCTGCAGGTGGATATCTGGTCTCTGGGCATCATGGTGATTGAGATGGTGGACGGGGAGCCACCCTACTTCAGCGACTCCCCAGTGCAAGCGATGAAGAGGCTCCGGGACAGCTCCCCCCCCAAGCTGAAAAATTCCCACAAGGTCAGTCGGTGCATAGTGTGGCCCCACAGACCGAATGCTTCCTGAGGCTCAGAGGACCAGAGCCTGGGCTCCAGCCCAGCCTCTCCCTTTCACAGAAGCCAGAGGGTCCTGGTTGCTGGAAGAGGTCCCCCTTTCTCCATAGGAAACCTGCACCTGGGTGTGGAGCCACATCTATAAGCAAACTCCCATGGTCACTCGGACGAGTTTCTACCTGCAAGGGATTGATAGGAGCCCGAGAGAAGGGAAAGCAATGCTTCCAGGAATCCCTGATGCTCTGGAGAAGAATCTAGAGAAGCTGAGCAGGAACACCTCAACCCCTTCTGTCAGGGGAGCCGTACCATGGCAGTGTCCCCAGTCCATCTCCTCACTGCACATTCTGAACACATCTGAGCTAGTTTTTCCCTTAAAACCTGTGTGTGTGTGTGTGTGTGTGTGTGTGTGTAACCCTTTTCAACCTAATCTACCCAAACCAGCAGGCCTTACAAGCCGGCCCTCCCCCGCCCCCTCCACCCCACCCCTGGCCACGTCAGCACAAAGCTGCAAAACGGCACCACCACCTAGTGGCCAGAGTGAGAAGTGTCCCAGAGTGCTGAAGCCCCGTCCCCACATGGCAAGACCTGTGGCCCCAACACAGCTACTGGTAGCTGGGAGGACAGACGGGAACGCCTCAGAGACAGCTGGTCCTTGGAGACCACTGCTGACCACAAGATTAGCAGATAGGGGAGAGTTCTAGTTGACTAATTCCCCAGAGGAGGTAGCCTTCTGTAACAGACCCAAGACTCAGCCTCTCCCCAAGATATTGGCTCAAAAAGAACCAATACAAGACTTGGACTTAGACTCTAAGTCTTAGAGCAATAAAGAAATCTTTCTTTTCAGGCCCTCCCACCCCTTGTTCTTTTCTATTTTCCAAAAACACTTCTGCGCCCCTGACCTCGTTTTTGTCCTCACTAAAGTCCTACGTGGCAGACAGAACAAGGACATTAGCCCATTTTGCAGATGAGAAAGCGGAGGCCTAGAGAAAATTGCAATTTGCCAGAGTTTAGAGATAAACCCAGAACTGGATCACTGATACCAATCCCATGCCCCTTCCCATGGAACCTGAACGCTGAGAGAGCCCAAAGAAACAGGGTGTGGAATGGTCTGTATTTAGAGTCCAATCCCCCCCCCTCCCCCCCAGCACTCCAGGTGCTCTAATCCCATTGCTCAGCAGCACCCCCTGGAGGCGATCTGACCACTTTTCCTGGACTAATGCTGATTTTCTTTACCTACTTGATAATCCCAGAAGCGCTGGTCCTGGGAGGAAGCAGGAAGTAAGGAAAGAAAAACTTAAGACTTTCACATGATGGTGGGATCAGGCATATGGGTCACCCCAAAATGACTGCAAATTGTCGCTTCATCTCACCGCCTTGTCTCCACAGGTTTCCCCAGTGCTGCGAGACTTCCTGGAACGGATGCTGGTGCGGGACCCCCAGGAGAGAGCCACAGCCCAGGAGCTCCTGGACCATCCCTTCCTGCTGCAGACTGGGCTCCCCGAGTGCCTGGTCCCCCTGATCCAGCTCTACCGCAAGCCGACCTCCACCTGCTGAGCCCACCCCGAGTGCGCCTGCCACCTGTGCCCACAGGCAGGGGACACGGGGCAGCCAACTCGCCGCCAGGGCCTGCTTGCCTCATTCTCTCAGTATTCTCTCCAAAGATTGAATGTGAAACTCCCCCTCCTGCCCCTCTGCCCACTGGGCCAGGCCGGACCTGCCCCTTAGCCTCTCCCCCTCCCAAGAGAGTCCCCAGTTGCCTTTGGGATGATGGAGACCCCTTTTTCAGGATGACCCTTTGTTATTTGCACAGGGATATTTCTAAGAAACACGGAGACCAGCACTTCTGGCCACGACAGCCAACACAGCAGAAATGGCTGCTGCGTGTTTTTTTTTAAGGCAGCATCCCAGGCCACCCACGAGGGCAGAGTGCCTGTCTTTACCAGGCTACTTGCTGTTCTCAGCTCCAGTTCCTAACCCTGATGTTTCGAGAGGGCCATGGGGGAGGTTTTTATTACCTAAGTCTATCTATCTTCCCTTGTGTCTGACTTCCTGAAGGCACAGTCCCACCTGCACCTGCTTCCCGACCCGCCTGCACTGCCAACACACAACACTCCCATGCACAGCCTGCTCCGAACTGTGAACAGCCTGCCTGTAGGCCATGGGAGCAGAAGGGACATTTGCTGGGTGAAAGAGAAATACTGGGGGTTGGTGGTAAAGGTGGTGTCACTTTACAGGATGCAAGTGCTCGTGTGTGTGTGTGTGTGTGTGTGTGTGTGTGTGTGTGTGTGTGTGAAGGTCACCCCGACAGCCTGGTCCCTTCAGTATGGCTTCCTCATCCTCTTTCCCACTGAGTTCTGCTCTGAAGAGACCTGCTTCCTTGGCATGGCTTCCCACCCCTTAAGTCCTGCGTCTCTACCTGACCAGAGAAGAGGTTTGTATTGAGGCCGACACATCCGGAGGGCTGGGCAGCTTTCCGAGCTTCTCCCGTACTATGGAGTCGGAGCCCACGTGTGCAAGGATGAGGAAAGAAACTTCATTTTACCTATTAGCTTCATCTCAATCACCAGGACATCAGGGACCCTTCTTTTCAAAATCCTGGTCTGGGGGAGGTGAACCAGCTCCCGGGGTTCCATCAGGTCAAGAGACTGGGCACCCCATTTGTGAAAACCATCTGCCTCTCACTGCCTCCTTGGGCACCTGTCTCTTGTCCTCCTTCCTTCCCCACCTTCAGGGCTATTGTGAGACAGGGAAGCCCAGGGAAGCACTCCAGGTGTCTGGGCCCAATCTAGATCATATTTTTAGATTCCTCTGCTCCCTAGTGGCCTGATTTGGGGCAAAAAAAAGAAAATTACAAGGACTTTTTTAAAGGTCAGTTTTAAAAACAAAAGCATCTTCCCTAGAAACTTTTGTGAATTGTTTGCACTTGTGCCTGTTTTAAATTAAACTGAGTGTTCAAAACCTCGGACTTCCTGTTGTCTCTGGGAGTGGAGCTGAGTTGTCTTTGAATGGACACTCTGTAGTGGGTGTCTAGGGTGGCCCTCCTCCTCCCCAACGGGAGCTTCCCAGTGGCCACGCTAGTCCACAGAAAACCCAACTCCCTGGTGGTGTGTGGGCAGAGAATGAGGGAAACAGGAAGTGAAATACCCTTGGGACTGAAAGAGCTGGGAAACAGGTTCCTTCCCCGGGGAGAAGAGCCCAGCCAGGCCCAGGGCCGAGGGTCTGGCTTGCTGGCCCTACATGGGCTCTGGGGGCAGCCACCAGGGCTGATGACCACTCTCTGCAGCAGCTTCTCCCTCCCCGGAAAGTCAAAGGCTGCTCTCCTAGGAAGGGCCTGGCACTGCTTCCAATGAGAAAGCTGTCTCTGTTTTGAGGGAGACAGTGAGGAGTTTTTATAGTGCAGTGGCTGGAAATTAAGAAACCTGAGTTCTAGTCCTGGGATTGAGGTGAGTGCATGAAATTATCTTGAAACTTCTAGCTCTGACACTGATTCCAGTACTTAACTTCCTGAGAGTTAAGAGCTGGAAGCATCCTACCGCCTAACCCAGGGCTCACTGAAACCTCCTAACCAGGAGCAAGGGGCCATGCAGACCATCTCCGGCTCCACATAGCATTCCCAGCTAGATAGCTGCCCTGGTCCGAGGGCCCTGGTGCCACCAGCTCAGCCGGAAACAGCACCTGAGTCTTACCTTCTGGAGGCAGCCACAGAGGGAGGGGCAGAGACAGAGGCAAGTGTACCTACGCACCTCTCCAGAGGGAGCCCACAGTCAGGAATGGTTGGTAAGGCAAAGAGAGGCCAGTTCTTGAAACTGAACAATACTGGATTTATTATTCTTTTGAGTTCTAATAGTCCTTCCCCCACACAGTGTCACCCCGAAAGCATGTGCATACATCAGTTAGCCTCACACAGACCAGTTCTGAGTTTGATCTTAGAGGACCAGACTCCAGTGGCATGGGTAACGCTTCACAATGACAAAAGCAACGAGAATTGGAAAAGCAAAATGTTTAGAAAGTCTCTTCTAAAGTGGAGAGAGCTAGAGAGGACCCCAGCCCCAACGCCCTTGGGGCTGACAATGAGTGGAAGTTCAGGAAAGCGAATGTGGTAAAACATTTAAGTTCTGCACGGAGCTGGGCCTGGTAAGAAATCTGCAAGAACAGCAAGTCAGGCGGACACACAATTCAGTTCAGGCAGGAACAATTGGCTGTGTTTTTCAGAAACATCACTTTCAACCACCCAGCCCTGGGCAAATCCAGGGAGAGCAACCCTCATGGCTGCTTACCCAATAAAGAGGGCGCAAGGTGACATTCAACCAAAGTCCCGTCAGTGACACTTGAAAGATACAGCACCTTCAACACAATGTGCAACCCAGACCTCATGGTGTTTTGAAGCCAAAATGCTTATATTCTTAGGCCATTAGAAATTTCATGAAAATTAAACACAGTTGGAATAAGTGAGCAAGCAAGGATCAGAAAAAAAAGGAGTTTGCACTTGGGGTGTCCAATTACCCCCATCCCTCCCAGACCCTCTCCCTCTAGCTTTTTCAGGAGCTTCTGTATTGTTAACCCACCACCCAGACAGATGTTTGAGAAGAAAGAAGTGAGGAAAGGGCAAAATGCCCCCCCCAAACAAAAGCAAAGCTCGTCAGGAAAAAACAACAACAACAATAACAGTGCATAATCGGTAGGTCCCAAGGTTCAGCGGTCGTAGAGAGGGTTTGGGGCTCCAGTTTTTCTGAAGACAGCAGGACCGCTCAGGACACAGAACCTTAACTTGGAAGATCTTGGGGTCTTTAATGACGGGTCTGGGTTCCCGCTACTCCAAATGCGAAGTGTTTGTTCATTGTCCCTCACTCCATTGCTGTGAAATGACTTCAAGTATAAGGATTTAATATACTACAAGAGTTTGAGGATTCCATGGGTAAATGCACACGGAGGGAGAAGTAGACAGCGGCGATCCCAAATAAAATTTTAAGTCCAGACTCCGAGCTAGGGCGCAGCGCTGCCACCAGAGGGCACCAGAGATCACGTCCAGTGTAGGGCCCTGGCAGTCTCACGGGCCTGGAAAGGTGGAAGGACTGGGGAGTTATCTGACATCTACCCCCACATGACCCGCCCTCACCCCCAGGCCCAATTTCTCAGCACAGGTCATTCTCTCTCTGGGCAGTTCCCTTAGAGTTACTGGTGAGAAACCTTCCGTTCTGCAAAGACGAGCAGATCGACGTCTTGCAAAGACCCCTCTGCTGGTAGAAAAGGGGGTGCACGTTCAACCTTCGGGGTTCACAGAAAGAGCCCCCACGCGCCTCTACCTGACGTGCACAGATACAAGTGCTAGCGCTCCCGCAGGGTCCTAGTGCACGCGATTCGCCAGACCCGCCTGGCGGCGAGGGACGGAACAAAACGAGGACCGGGCCGCAGGGAAGGGGCTTTTAGCCTCCTCTCTGCGGTTGCCTCTGACTCACTAATCTGCCCAGCAATGAAGCGGGGCCGGGCCTGCGTCCCACGCGTTGGAGCAGAAGCAGGGGTCCTTGGTCTCGACTTCTAGCATCCATCATCCGCCCTGCCCTCCATTAACAGCCCAGCGAGAGGCAGGAGCCTTTTAACAGCCCCCTCCCGGCTCTCGCCGGAGTTTGATGTAATTTAAACCCGGGCCTGCGGCTCGTGTGGGCTTCCGACTCCCGCGCGCCGCCGCTTAACGTGGCAAACACTTGAAGTCAATTATCCCCCTCGCGGAGCTTCTATTTAAAGAGACATTGTCAGGTTCCTAAGCCTCGGATCAGACCTGCTGCTTTCTGCTTCATATACAAAGGCTCAAAACACCAGCTCTTTGAGGATTGGAACAAATACAATTAAGCAAAACCTTCGCAACCGTTCTACCGGCAGGAGCACCCACGGTGTGGGATGCGGGAGCTGGGAGGCGGTGGGGGCGGGAGAAGTGCTTAAGTCCTTTTCATTTCAGGCCTCTGAGGGTGAGAGGAAATAGGCTGGGCCAGGAGGGGTGAGACCTCAAAGATGGGACTCAAATGTAGCGGAGCCTGGGGTGGGCGGGGTGGGCGCTGGCTGGGGCAATGACCAGGCATTGTCAACGACGATGAATTCTGGGCGGGCCTGGGGAAGAGGTGGAGGAACTGCAATTACCCAGAAGCTGGTTCCAGGGACAAAAAGCAGCAACACCGGGGCTCTGCCACTTCCAAGATAGGCTTTCATTGTCCTGGGGCAGGAGTGTCTCCCCAGGAAAACTTAACCTCTTGATTCTTTCCTAATCAGCCCTAGTCTCTGAGGCCCACCTAGCTGCTCCCCTTCTCCAACTTAAGGGAAAGGGAAGCTTAGGTCGTGTGTGGCATGATTGTCAGCATCCCTGGGAGAGGGGGTGGCTAGGCCCTTGTACAGGTTCAGTCTTCGGGCCTGGCTGCCCGGGTGTGGGGAAACCTGACAATGGGAAGGAGACCGGGCAGGAGCCACAGACTCAGGACTGAGCCTTGGGGGGGGGGGGGGGGGCGGGGGTCCATCTTCCTGGGAGGCTATAGCCCATGGAACCAGCCTTTCCGGACAAGAAAGGCAGGCTGTAGGGAAGGTGGGACTAGGCAGGGAATACCAAAAATACCAACAAGCACAAAAAGAAATAATAGGGGCCCCTTTCAGAGAGAAGGCCACTCATCTTGGCAGTGGGGTCAGATGGGAGGGGAATTGCCAGGAAAGAGAGGACCTGGAGGAATAAAGAGAAATCCTAGTGGAGCAGAGGCAGGCAGGCGCAGGGAACTCGGCTCGCCCTCTATGCTGTTTACCGCTGATCATGCAACACCACGGCCTCCTCCGTGCCCGCCTGGCAAGCCTGGGGCCCAGGCGTCGAGTGCGGCACAGCATTGGCCTCTAACTCCGGGCCGCTCTCGGGCCCCGGTGCCTCCCCGACCAGGCTGGGGATGTCGGGAGCCGTGGAGCGTCGGCGCAAACCCAAGCGGCCGGAGCCGGGGCCGCCCTCGGGATGCGGACTGAGGCCGATGGGAGCTTGCGCCAAGGTCGAAGGCGGCGCTCCCTCCAGCACCTCATGCGAACGCCACCGCCCGGTCCCCGACGACTGGGGAGAGTGTGGTCGGGCCATCAGGGCTCCCGCCCGCAGGCGAGCCGCCTCCTCCTCCGTCACAGCTCCCAGAGCCAGACTCATGCTCCGGCCCAGCTCGGGCCGCTCGCTCCCCTGCGCCCGGTGCCGGCCCGAGCTCTTGCCCCAGAGCCAGCCTCGCCGCCGTGGCCGTGGCCGCCGGCGCTC